AGAAGAGAAGAGAAGAGAAGAGAAGAGAGACGAGAAAAGAAGGAAATCAACCAACCACAAAACACATTGCGTAACTTTAGACTGACAGCTGTGGAACCTGCCTGGGGCTGGACTAGACCCTCTGCATATGGGAGACAGTTGTGCAGCTGGGTCTGTTTGAGGGACCCCTGGCAGTGTGGTCAGGATATATCTCTGGTGCATACGCTGGCTTTTTAAATCCCATTACCTATGGTTAGGCACCTTGCTCACACTTGAGGCGGGGGTTAGGGGCTTGGTTCTACCTCTACTGAATGTACCAGGCTTTGCTGTCCCACCATGGGAGAACTTACTTTTTTAGAGGGGATGAAGGGTTGGTAAGGGAGGGAGTTAGGCAAGGATGGGGGTGCAGGAGCAGGGATGAGAGGAAGATCTGTGTTTGGTATGTAAAATGAATAAAATTTTTGTCTTAAACAAAAAAATTAAGAGATAATCTTAAAAAAACACACTGCATAAAACCATGAAGTGTTCAACTAAGCATGTAATTGCTAAAAAAGGAATAATTTTTATATTAATTATACATATGTAAGACCCATGTCACCAATCTATACAACTTGTTCTACAAGCACAGCCCATACATGGGAAGAAGTTATCTATAAAGGAGCTGCAGTGGAGAAATGGCGTTTCTAAGCTGATTCCTAACCCTGTGGATCCAGGCAGAGCTGTGCTGTTGGAGGTGATTGAGAATACTTCCCATGCTTTCCAACTCAGAAGGAGCTGACATTCATTTCCTCTAACACATTAATCTCTAGGATGATAAATTCTGTATGCTTTCCTTAATTTTTTGATTCATCTTTAGCTGGGCATGGTGTTGAACACCTACAACTCTGGCATTCAGGAGTTAGAGCTGAGGCAGGTGGATTAATATTTGAGGCCAGCCTCTACTACACAGACAACCTATATTACCAATGGAGACCCTATCTCAATAACAGATTTAAAAAAAAAAAAAAAACAGCTCCGATCCATATCTTCAAACTTGCTAAGGATCTAGATGAAACTGGCAGGCTGACAAAATGTATAAACTACCCGCCCATTTCTAAACCCATCTCTTAGAGAGAAGAGATGTGCTATTACTGGTGGGGATGTAGTGGCCCTAAGTGAGAATGTGGGAAACAAGATGAACTCTTAGAAGAGTTCATTTTCTCTTTGATCCACTGCTGCCCCTTGTCACCTCTGACACAGCCCCATTTGTCTTATCTAATTCTTAAACAGTTTTCTAGAGCGGGAGATGAATAACTGCCAAGTGACACAAGTCCTCAGTAGCAGAACTGGCAGTTACATTAAGTTTATGTTATTTTTTTTAAAGGAGCTCTGGTAAAGTTTTATTAAAGAACTTTCCTGGTTTATTTTTCACCAGTCTGTTCTGGCATGCTTCTAATAATATCAGAATCACCTGGGTCAATGCTAGCCAGTGTGCATACTCTGCAGTATTTTCAACATGCTGTGCCCAATTCAATGTTATTGCCACTGTAGTGATGGACACCAGTTTTAGCCAATATGGCATAGTATTCTATTTCAGATTTCCTCAAAGCTGGACAGTTGTTGTCGAGGATAACCCAATTTCGCTTTGCCCTGTGTGATCATCTTCAGAGTCTGTTTGTACCCCAGCACATACTTTCCACTTTTCATAACAAGTTGGAGCCTAGAGTTGACTCCAGCGACTTTTTCGTCTTCTTTGTGGCCACCATCTTCCTCTGCCTTAGGTGCAGGACAGACCCCAACCAAGACCAGCCACCAAGATCAAGTTTATGTTATTAATAAATAATAATAAAGCAATGAAAATTCAGATGATTACATTGGAGATTCAGTTGGTGTGCTCTCTGACTCTGGGCACACTATGTATTTGAATGAACTAACGAAACCTATGTATTGTCTAGTTGCCATTAATGTTCTAAATACTTAGGGAACAACTATACCACAGGTTAAAGTGTCTACCCTGAGATGATTTTTATCACACTGATTGACTCCATGCTGCCCTTTATAAATGGCCTGAGCTTTCTATCACAAACTCTCACTTCATTTATGCAGATATTGAATAGTAAGAACATATGGCTTTCTGAGTCTAAGAGCTAAAAACAGGAGCTCTAGCTCTGCTCTCTCAACACTGAGGTTTTGCCTTACAGTAGTGAAGACAGGCACTTGTCTCAGTGCATGGACCAAACAGGGGAGGGTCCCATCAAACTGCTCCCCTTTCTGGGGACCTGCTCCTATTGTGCTCCACTTCTATTACCTGGAAAGATCACAAGCATGGGAGAAGTCTATTGCTGTTGAATTGTCAACTTTGCTGAATTAAGAAACCACCATAAAATTAATGACATTTAGAAAGCAGGTGTGTCAGCTTGGGCATTCCTAGGGACAGTTAGATCATGGGAGCTCTGAGCTAACCAACAGATAAGTACTATGACAGACTCCTAACACAGTTGACCTGATGAGGTCAGAATCCAAAGGTGCTATTTGGAGGTAGTTACACACAGGAGGTGAGGCCTAGCTTCAGGAAGTAGGCCACTGGGAGCATGTCCATAGGCCTCTATCTTGCCCTAGCTACTTCCTGCATTCTCTTTCCTATGTTTCCTGTCTTACCAGGCTATGAAGTGCTCTCAACCATGACCTCCCTGCCACGATGACCTGGCCTCTCTTTTGGTTATGTCTTTCAGGTACCAATATAAGGTCTCTCTACAGTGGTCCACCTCAGCCACAGGAAGCCTCTCCATCCTCCATCCCAACCCAAAGACCTGAAATTAAAGACCATCTCTGCTTAAACACAAACTTCTCCCAGGAAAGCATGCATTCTGACAGCTCAACAGCTACTAGTTTGTTAGCATCATGACAATCAATGGCTCAAATTTCAGATGCAAGAAAAGGTACCCTATATAATTAAGCTGTACAGCCAGTTACAGACCCTGAGGCTGTGGAATGGTAACTCTTCATACCAACCTGTTCTCGCTCTGGCTCTTCAGCTCTTGCTGTGGGCTCTTGTACTTGCTGCAGCATTTTCTCCAGCTCTTTCAGTAAACATTCCGTCTCAGACACAACTAAAATCATGAATACAGTCAAAACTACATCTTTAATTAATTCCATCTAATTCATAATTTTAACCACTCAGAAAGAACTCTTCTAAGTACTACAGGATTAAAAATAAAAAATAAACTTTCATTTTTTAAAAAAAAATTTTAACTTTAGTTTACTTAAAAATAACAGATTTCTTCATGGTTTTTTCTTACTACATGCTTAGTTGTTGTTATCATACAGTTTTTATATGTGAATTCTATTATGAATTTCCAGATGAAATTTTTATAATTCTTTGAAAGGAATAAGTAATTTTCTTGATATGTATAGACTATAAAATACCTTTGAAATATAAGAAGCTCATTAGAAGTTGTTGCATGCTTTTTCTGATTGGGTCCTGTAGTGGTATTTGCTCCGTCCATGACCTTGGGCTATACAACCAGAAGGAGGTGGTGCTTCTTGATGTTGTAGTTGTACCTGACCTCTTAAAAGGAAAGGGAGAGGGGTCATGAGGCCCCTTTTCCCTGTTTCCTGCTGTCTGAGGTGACCGAACTGCATGGTGGATTTGCTCTCAGTCGGGTCAGAGGATGACTTCAGCTCTCTACTCGGTTCTGTATTCGTGAGCATATTTCCTCAATTGATATCCTAATAAATTCCCCAGTACCCCTTAAGCAGACTCCTATGAATTTCTTGCTTTAGGGTCCCAGGGCACCAACCTCAATTTTGTTTGTAAAAGACATCACAACCAAGGGGCTATGGACAGTTGACAGAAGTAAGTTTTCATTAAAGGGTGTGGCCCTATAGGTCCACCATGCTCCTGTAAATGGCCCCACACCCATCAGCATTTGGTCTATACTACTGAATTGTTTTTAAAAAAAGGACACAAAGTTAGGAGAGCAGGGGCATAGGGAGTGTGGTGGTGAAGATGACCGAAAAGTCTACTAAAGAAAAAGCCATATATTAAGGGGCAGGGCTGAATGCAGACTCCTTCTTCTTTTCCTTCTCGTTTTCCACTTTCCTGTGTGTGGGGCCCTGTGAGGGAGGGACCACCCGTCTGGGGTGAGCACGCACTCCTGTGGGTGCCTGTGGAGGTCTGAGGTTGGTATCAGGAGTCATCTTCCACTGCTCTTTTACACTATTCACTGAGAAAGGCTCTCTCAAGTCAAGCCCAAAGCTCCCTGACAAAGCTACTCTTACTAGCCAGCTTGAGGCCCAGGAATGTTTTTCATGGTTTCCAGGGATCCCTTTGCTACTCACACTTGCATGGCAATTAACCACTGAGCCATCTCCAAAGCCCCACAGGGTTCATCCATTCCTAATCCAAATATGTTGATTGCCTAGTCTGATTTTAAAAAGAAAGCACTATGCTTATAAATGTCTTTTTTTTTTTGTATTATTATGAAATAAGTAGGAAAGGTGTTTACTACTTCGTTGAATATGTTGAGATTAAAATAATGACCCTACCACCACTTAAGAAAGACAGCCTAAGATAAGGATAGAATTGAGTTCTAATGAACAATATGTATCTGAATTCTCCACCTAAATAAAACAGCATTTTCACTTGACACAGAGTCTTGCTGAAGCAAAGATCGAAGAAAACAGTACACAAGTAGCTTGCTGCATGGCACCAGAAACAGATGAGCCATCTGAGAAGCCTGCCCAAAGACAGCATTACCTGGAGGGAATGCCATGTCCCTCACCTTCCACTCTGACCCCTGCATCTGACATACCACCTTCTATTCTCTGTCATTTTGACAGGTCACCAACAGTCACACCACCCAGCACAGCTGGTATTTCAAGGAACATTTAAATGTACCCAGGCAGGATGCAAGAATTTTTCAGACATGGTTCCTCTGTGTAACAGCTCTGGCTGTCTTGGAACTCTCTCTGTAGACCAGTTTAGGCTGTCCTCGAACTCACAGAGATCCATGATAAAGCACTATTAATAGCAGTATTGACTGAAGTCATGGCGGTAAGGAAACAGAAAATCTTCCTGTGGTTGTTGCTACAACACAGAAAAATCACTTTTCCTTTTACATTTTCCACATTATAATCTGCAGGAATATGCTGGCCAGGATCTCTCTGCCTAAGCATCTTTGTGTTCAATCAGCACATTACCTACAGTGAATCTATTGTGGAGCAGGAACTCAGCAGAGTCAGTATAGACCAGGGAGCCTCCTCACCATGACCTCTGCCCAGCCAACCTTAAGTTGACCAGTCACAAAACTAGTCTTGAAACAACCTGAAAGAAGCTCCTCCCACCCTCGGGAGTAAGTTCTCTGCTTAAAAGCAAAACAAACAGAAACTGCAACTGACATGTTAGTTACCTCCCTAGATCACCTGTTGTCTTTAGTAATCGCTGAAGACAATGGAGTGTTACATTCTGGGTCAGAGTACTCAAGAGTTTGGTGAGCCTAAGAATCACCTGGGTAATTCACTGAAACATAGATACACCATGTTTACTGCACCCAAACTAGAGGGATTTCTAGAGGAATATATGCTTGTACCGAAGCTTTTCAAATAGAATTAACATCCTATGTTAATATGTATTTTTTTTCTTTTTTTCCATTTATATTTACATGTATGTGTGTGCACGTGCACAGGCTCATAGGTGCACTCAAGCACACAAGTGCAGGTACACCAGTGCCAGAGTGTGCATGTAGAGGTCAGAGGACACCTTGCAGGAGGTGCTCCTCTCCTGCCTGGTTGAAGCATGGTCTCCACTGTTGTTTGTTCATGCAGCAAACTCTAGGCTAGCCTCACTCTCCTGTCTGTACCCGAGTCTCTCTGTGGGAATGCTGTGATTCCTGATGTGCACCACCTCCTCCAACTTTCACTGGCTTCTGGGAACTCAACTCATGTTGTCAGGCTTGAGCCACAGTGCTCCTGCCCATGGAGCTACCTCCACAGCTCCAATGCTGGTAGATTTCTTTTTCATAAACTGTTCATTTGTGGGTAGCTATTTGTGGTTACCCTTAGACTGACTCTCTAGTTCCCCTCACAGTTTTTTTTTTCTACTTTACATTCTGAATCTATGGAAAATGACATTGAAATGTAAGGTCCTGTTGAAAAGATGGATTTTAAGCTATGCTATAAAGGAAAATGGCAAACAAACCTCTTTGTTGTTCTAACATTAGGCTAAAGCACAGTCAGGTTATGATGAGGTGAGTCACTGCCAAGTTCACTATGATCTCTGTTTGCAAGCAATCTGGAAAAGTGTCTGCACTGCCTTTTGATCAAAGGGTTGACAGAGTAATGGAGGACCTCATCAATTGGCCAGGACGCTTAACAGCTTGACGGATGTTGATTTCTACTTCCAAACAACAGGAGGCTTGCTTTTCTATAAGTATTCCTATACTGTAAGCTGAAATTCAAAAATAATTCTCATGAAATGGCAGTTCCTGTAATCTACAGACTCAGTTATCAGAATTGGTCAATGATATCCTCCAAAGCTGGAGACAGAATGAATGCCTTCGCTGACTGTGCAACCAATCATCTCCTATCTGTGATGACTATCCTGTAGTTTCCTGACTTGTTTCAATTCACTGTTGAGAATAGAAAGGGAGAAGGAGGGAGATGGGAATAGGGGAGGAAGGGGGAGGGAGGGAGGGAAGGAGGGAGGAAGGAAGGGAGGAATGAGAGAGAGAGGGAGGGAGA